AATGCAGAAGACAAAACAATAAGTCTCCATCTTTTCTCAAAATGTAAATATTTAAAACAGCATCAATGTGACAAAATGTTTTCTGATCAAGTTAAAATTACAATCAGCCTATATCAGTTTCACAGGTACACAGACAGAATTATTATCTTGTCTTCTACAATGGTTTTAAAGCGAAACATCTCCAAAATACCTAGCAATAAAGCACTACTATAATGTCACGCACATTGTACATCCTTGCTTTGTGAATCACCTATGGCCATTATACAATACTTTCTATCTGAGCCAGAAATACTTTCTGTGCGAGAAATAGGATCGGGTCTTCTCCATTTCATTGCAAAATGGACAGAAATCGTCCCTGAAACAAGTACATGTGGGTCGGCATTAAGTATTAAATATGATATGCCTCCTTCTGTGAAAGAGACACTAAGTCCGTTGTTACTCATCTTTATGAAATGGAAAATGACACCTGCTTCCACCACCCTGTGTTTCAAAGGTCTCTGGAAACTCGTGCCTTTACCCATAATATAAAGGTGTCAGGGTCCAGGCACTTTTGAAACTCAGGGTGCCTTGGAAAGGCTAATGAAAAATAACACAACAGAGTGATCTGCAAATATTTGGATGTATTGTTTAGTTTAACTATGCATGTTGACTGTTAGTGTTAGTTTCGAAGTTTTTCAAAAAAGTTGGTTGAATCTGTATGCTATTTCATCATCTGTGGTGTTACTAAAGACTGATAATTGATATTGCATATACAATTATAATGTAATACTATTGAAATCATGTTGTAAGCAAAGCTGAAATGACCAACAACTTATCATTTTTTTCTATATCATTTGTACTTGATTTTTTCATAATTATTTGTACTTTATTTACAGAACCTGTCTACGGAAGTAACCTCAACATAGGTGCTGGAAGACAAGAAGAACACTGAATTGTAAGTTCATAATTCTAAACATTAATTTCAAAGAGACCAAAGTTCTGGTTCTTACAATGCTGTTAAGTACATCTACTGCAGTTAATGAAAAAAAGTATTGTAGTGACTATTTGTTTACAATGTCATGTGGAAAACCTTAAACAGCTTTAACTTTTCTGCTTTTTATCACATAGTAGCAAATTGTATCTAGTATATATATATATATATATATATATATATATATATATATATATCAATTGATGTACTATTCACATTTCTGCACAATATATACTTTGTTTAACCCAATTTTTTCCAAACAACTCCCCAACAAAGCCTACTCTCATTCTCAATATACCCGTCCCTTCAAACGAAAAACAAGTGTCCCCGTTGCGACATCCATGAGCTGTAAAATAAAGGAGTGGGGAATAAACCCTCCCCCATATCGCGAGGCGACAATACAGTCTACCTCATGATAAAGAACGCTAAAATAACACACAGTCACATTCAAGTGGAGCCAATTAGTTTGACTTTCGGGCAATCAAGTCCAGCGGAGACCCACCAAAAAGGGAATCTTTTGTGATTCCGGTGCAATCAAGTGGGAGGGGAGTTTCTAAAAAAGAGAATCCATTGAGGTGAAAATAAAGCTCCCAGGGTAAAATAACAAGAAGTAAAATCAGAACGAGTATTATCACTTGTATGGGTCCATTGCCCTCACAGCGGGTCAGAACGAGAGCGAACCTCCTGAAATATTTAGTCTTTGTGCGGAACAGATGCAAGGTAACAATGGGGAGCTAAGACTGTGGCTCATGGGCTAATAAGGATCAGGGGGTATCAGTCTAGGAGGTTGTTACCGTACTAGTGCATCAAAAAAAATTTGCTAGGACAGAAAGCATGTGTGTTCTTTACTAGGAAGATTGATAGCTGTCTTTGATGCATTTGATTTTTCAGCCCTTTTCTTGGAAGATAAATGTGTTCAATAGTTGGCTATAATTTGTTGTTTTTCTATAAAAAAAATTCTCTGCAACTGTTTAGGTAACTAGCAATGGTAAAAATGGAAAAAAAGTTAGGTGAAATTTAAAGTTTTAAGCAATTACTGGACATGTTGAACCATGCATCTCAGCATTGGAATTTTCATCTCTAAATAACTTGACCCCCCCCCCCCCCCAATCTCTCTCTTTTTCTTTCTCTTTCCATATATACGTGTGTGGGCAAAGGGTCAGTAATATAAACTCCATTCCATAACCATTAAACGAAGTTCAATCCTTACCAATTGAACACAATGGAAAAATACCTGCCTCATGTAATTCACAGTGAAAGGTAACCAGTAATTGCACAGATCATTAACTATGCATTCTATGTCCCATATATTTATATGTCCACTAAATCAGACTGCAGTGGTCATTATGAGAAATAGTTAATGGTTATTGGTCCTGGTGAGCAAGGGTCATATTATCTTTAACAGGTCTCATTATAAAATGATGATAGTTAAATTAAATTTAAGCATCATAACTAATCAAGTGTAGATTAAAACTGATTATCAATTACTTATAATGCAAATTTGCAAAACTTAATTACTTTTACACAATATTTTTTTAGCTTAAAGATCAATGCAAATTGTAGCTTTACCAAGTTATAAGGGCATTGATGTGTAGAATAATTTCAAAATGCCTTAAATTTATAAAGGGAATCTTTTATCTAAGTTCATTATTTACCATATGAACAAGATGATACTGTAAACAAAATTTCACCAAGCTCCTTGAGATATCTACATTTATTTGGGACCTCTGCAAAAGAGGTTACAGCTTGTTCCATTAGCCATTCGCAGTCAAAATATCGGTGCATTGTCAAAACTTATTGATTTATTGATGCCTTATTGGCATTTGATCATGGAGAGTAAGTGACCCTTAATCTGCACGAATTTGGATAGTAAGCCGTTGAAAAGGCCTGTATAACCAGACTTAACAATTCATGACAATTATTTTACAGTTTTTCAGCTCAGGAAAAATAGAAACAGTTTTCGTCGTTTCCGTTCTCAAAGGAGGCTGTCTGAACCGCATGCAAAGTTGTGTTTTTAAAATCAACAAATATTAAGTTTGATCTGCTACCTCTTACAACAAAAGTTTTCAAAGCTTTTTTCTTTAAAAAATCAACAATAACAATAACAGTTTGTATATGATCAGAATTCAAAGTCAATGCTTGCCATCATAAACTCATTTAAATCTTCCTGTTTATTTTTGCTTCCTTGTCTTTTCTCTCTTTATCTTTATAGACAAAATATCATAAAATTTTTAGCAGACCTTTTCCAGCAAAAGGAACAATTCCTTTCAACCCTCCCCCCCCCCCCCGCCCAATCCCCTGCCTTTTCAGTTATACCCAGTGTCCTAAATCTTGACCAAAATGTCCAGGGACCTGTTCACCTCCAAAATAGTCATAACAAGACAAATAACTTGTCCATCTTTTGTTGACACCTGTGAATGATACTTAACAAGTCCCGCGACCAGCTCATCGGTCATACGGATCACATAATTGTTGTCAGCCATTAAAATGTTTTCCTTTGGTGAAGTTCTTTAGCAGAAACGTTGCCGGTTCTTTGGTTCAGTGTATTCAGTACCTAAATGAAGTTCCTGTGATTATGTCTGGATTGAATGCAACCGCAGTTCAAGTAACTGTCGTCAGTCATTAAAATGTTTTCCTTTGGTGCGGTTATAAAGCTAAAGGCTGTCAGTGTCGAATTTAATGAAGTTTCCGTAATTGTCAAGTTAGTCATTGTCACTGATCTTTATAAAGTCTAGCAAAGGATAGTTTGACTTGCTATTGTTGTTGGCCAGTAATGGTGGAACATGAACCACAAAATCATTCAAAGGCAGATGATTCAGATATATCAAAATTAGGTATTTTTATTTTTGATGAAAATTTCCGGTGACCAGTCATAAGCCAATAAGATCAAATACCTTGTCTCCTTATTTGCCATCAATAATTTTTGTGACTGTCCACACAGCCAGAAAGATCATTTGTCATCATTTATGTTTGCAATTAAATTGTTGTGAAAAGGCAAAAATCAAAATGATTGGTTTTCATTTTTTCTTATTTTCTCTTATTTTTATTTATTTACCTTTTTGGAAGGGGAGAAAGAAAGTCCATCATAACTATTGACTGTTTCCACAGTGACATCAAATATAACAAATCAATCTTCAACATTACTTTAATTTCTACCATATTTAATCCTAGAGTCACATCACATCGACGGCCACCAGGACCTCTTCTCCCTCCATATGCTGCCTAGGTTCATCCTCCCAAAAACACAATGCCAAAGAGTCAGCTGGCAACCACAGTAAATTGACTTCTAATCCACTGTCTCTCTCTTTTACCCCCTAATCTCATTTTACCCCGTTTTAGGCTAATGCTCACCCCAGGGGCCTTAACTTCATTGTCCCCACCCTTTCTTCGACTCGCTGGGTTTAACCACCATTCCCCTATACATCTTATGTTCGATTAAATACACGATTCCATTGGAGAGGGATTAAAAGATACTTAGCAGGGATTTAGGGCCAAAGTCGGATCAAAGATGAATAGTAGTTGTATAAATTACACTGATTCTGTTGTGGTCACACACAAGAGGCATGTATTGACTGTCCAAGCTATTACCCAAATAGTAAATAATATTGAACCTGTCAGTGGTTCAAGTTTCTAAGCTAACTGTTGTGATTCGAACAGTTACAAGGAGGACGAGCTTTCAAAATAAAGCGGCACTTGAGATTTGACCACTGATACAACAACGCTCCTTGGGTTCTGGAAGCACCTGCTAACAATGGCATCATAAGTGTGGCATTCCACAATAACATCTTCTTTAGGTTGTCATATTTAACTATATATATCTACACATACCCAGAGGTGACCAATTAACAAAGATATCACTGGTCAGCGTTAATGGTCAGCTAGATGCTGGAGGCTTGGTGTTAATACTGTCATCCTATTGGTCAAGACAGACTCTGGTCAGCTAAGCTAGGACACTGGCTGTGTTAAGCTTGAGGTGTTTAAGTACATAGGGGGACTGCATGCATCTTCACTGAATCATTAGACCCCTGACAGCACTGAAGACATATCATATCTGTCAGGTAGTACGAGGTAACGGAGGGCAAGCCAGGGAAGGACTTATAGTATTAGTTATTGAATACTGATCTGGTCTAATACTGAAACAGATTGATAATTATTCAGAACAGCGTATTAGCTTTCTAATACACTTCCATACAGAGAGAGAGAAAAAGAGATAGAGAAAATAATCAGACACACCTTATGAGGACTTAGCTGGATTATTTCCAAAGACAAATGGAAACTGGATGTTAAGACGAGATATTTTTACCTTTGTGCCAAGACTTACCAGGAACACCTAGATCTTGGAATTATTACTGGAGACTGCTACATCAGGTGAGAGGTTGTCAATAACTATGCTGTATTAGTGTGATAAATAAGAAAAGGCAGAGCTTTCCAGGTAAATAGTCCTACACTGCGTGTGTGTACGCATGTGCGTGCGCAGCCATGTGCAGATATCATATTACCCATTAAATGCTTTAAAAGTCGGAAAAAAAAAGGCGTCAAATTTTTTCCTTTTTTTTAAATTTTTGACTTCAAAATATTTCTCATTTTTTCCAATAATTTGGTACCCTGTTGATCACATGGCACCTCACATAAAAATCAAACCCAAATCAAAGTTAATCAACCCTTGCTTCAAACTGGTTTAATTAAGCCTAGGCCATACCTGTATTACAAATCCACCTTTGGGAATTTAATTAGCCTGGATTTAATCAATGTTTCTGTGCCAGAAACAAAACCCAGAGACTTGCAGTAGATTCAGTGTTCTGTGGATAAAAAATGGAAAGGAACTACGGTATTATTAGACAGGTCAAAGGGATGTGGGAGATCTAGACATGGGTGAGTTCTCTAGTTATAGGGATATTTCTGAGTGGAATAGTTATGTTTAAAATAGAGTATGTTATTCTATTCATTTTGTGATATTCTATTAAATACTTATATTCAATAGGTAATGGAAATAATCTGTCATTTTTGGGCATGGTGCTTTGCATAATGGCATGGAAAATATGTTACAAAAATCATGGTTTTCAATTGAGCTAAAAAAATTAATAAATTGTCATATTAACCATGCTAAAAAGCTGTAGCTAGTTAAGGCTTTTCATTAATGCGAACCTCTGAAACATCTTAGTTTACAATGGTGAGTTCACTTAGAGTTAAACACAACCTTTAAATATGCCAAAGAACTCAGACTATTCTACTTCTTATTCCCCCAACCCCGTAAAATTGAACAATTCTTCCACTATAGTATCACATTATCAATGAGATCTCAGTATCATGAACTCGCTGTGTATACAGAGGCAGCAGTTTATCAATGGGTCGAGTATATCTGGCTATGATAATATTTCCCTAACCACATGTAACTGTGTAGAGGCGGAACCCGGAGTGAAGAGGGGAGCCAGAGAACAAGGGAGTTGGAAACTTTGAGCAGAGATGATATCTACTGTAGACAATGTAGGCGTTGTAGCGATATTTGTCTGACAAGGAAAACATTGTTGATGCTTTGGGGCCTGTTTTTCCCCTAAGAAATCACAACAGGGTTATTTTTGAATGGGTTGGTTTCAAACAATGAGGATGTATCATTAGGGTAAAAAAAATGACAAAAGGAGCATTTTTAGAGGCAGCTGCATTAACCTAAAACTTATTCGAGTTCAGTACTTAGTGGCAACTCTTCACAAAATCTATCAATGTAGTAATCTAACAATCAAAATTTTTGGCACAAATCATGTAAAAATTACATCTAATCACAAAATTTAACAACACACACACAAAAAAAAAAAAAATGAACATTTATACATCAAAGTCCAGGGGTTAATTCAGACCCTCGGTCCATATTTAAAGAAGTTCTTGGAGAGTTCATTTAGATTTCCAATCCCACACCGCCATACAGGAGTTTATCCTATAATTACATACCCGTGAATACCGTGCAATTTTCAAGTAAAACTGTCCGATCCTTGACGCGACTTTCATTTCATAAAACAACAATAGGATATGTGTATGCCCTGCTGGGGTATAGAATCTGGGGTATAATTTGAGACCAGGACTTTAACCACGGAGTCTTGTGAGCTAGGGAGGGACCTGGGGTGCATCATCTTAAAGGAGGGGCGTAGTTAGATATTCTTAACAAGTGCCATATTATAATCAGACGATGTAATTCTCTATTTTGTAATTCACTGTATTGGGTGCAGTGGATTGTGGTATGCTGCAACACATAAGGTGTTACAAATACCCGTGTTGGTCCCTTTCTTAATACCACTGGCCCCTATTCTGTGTATTAAATGTCATTATTCATATGTTTCCCAAAAAAATACCAATATTACCTCACATATATCTATATCAAAATTAAGAAAAGTGACATCATTCATAGACTGACTTAGATGTGTATTTATACAAATTAACATCTAAACATGCCCAAGGTATGTATACTACACAAAACCACTAAATATCCATGCTCAGGGCACTGTCATATTGTATTACATCATGTAACTGTATTATTAATACGCCAACATGACAGCATGATGCTCAGCCATCAATCACTCTCTATGCTCTAGATCAACTATTACAGAAACAGGAAATCTAAGTTTCAAGGTGAGGGAGTACTTAAAACCAGTGTTAAAGTGAAGATAATGAATATTATATAATGGACAGAGAGGTGGACAGTGAGGTTTTATTATGCAGTGGTCAGTATTGGATTTTTCCCTGATGACCAAATAGGTGGACACTGGTATCATGATGCAGTTGTCAGTATTTTATTACAAACTGACCAATTTTCGATCAGGCATCAAAACATAGCATGTCAGCATTGGGTTTCTCGCTGGCGTGATAAGTAGGCAAGATGGCAGAAAGAATGGCGTGTAAATCTTCACACATGGTAATATATTGTTGCATGTCGCAAAAGGACTGATTTGCATATGTTCATATACATGGTCGTGGGAGGGAAAAGCACTTCTGAAAAGATCTCCATATGGACGTGATTTTTCTGTACTTTGTATATTGATCAAACCACTCATCAGGTAAGACATCTTTTTGTTAAACAAAAACAAAAACAAACAAAAAAAAAACAAAGAAATTCTTTTAAGGATTTTTGTATCATAGCTTTGTAGTGAAAGGGAAAAAAAAACTGACGAAACCTACTTAAAAGGTACACAGCTGTACAACAAATAATATGTCTGGTTTCCATAAACACCATAATTATGTGCACTTTCACCAGATATATTATTAACAACTTAGCTATTACCTGGTATTGTACTGAAGCATGCTAATTAAGACACACGCCTGCTGGTCACATGCACTGGCCACACTGAAGGGCTACTGACTGGCCACACCACCTTGCGTGCCGTGCTCGAGCACAGATAAGCACGCACTCAGCATGCTATATCTGACATAGACAATATGCTGTGTCGGAACACAAAACAAGAGGTCATAGTTAAAATACTCAAACTTTTTTGAAAAAACCCTAGCTGTCTGACGTATGTGTGTTCTGACAGAAGATGTAACTAACTGACAACTGATCAGTCATAGAAGTATAATGCTGTGATCATCAAATATGTACATTGTATGACAGAAAACAAAATGAAAAGACATAAATGAACCTTTTCAACCGACGTACACACTCTTACCAAGTTCACTCGCAATGACAGAATGCACACTGAATGGTCAATGGACCATACGTAGATGTAACTTTCCAACTGACCGCATTTGCATGCTGAGCAAACGAGCAGCCGCGGTCAAGAAAGTTCTTCTCAGCCTGTCAGAGTTCTGCGTTAATGCGGCCTTCAGGTGTGCATCCCCGTGAGACTGCAGGCTTCATTCATCATCATTGTGGATAAGCTACTTCCAAATGTTGCATTAACAATTTGAACAAGTGGCTAATTTTTGAAAGATGGGCTTTTATTCTGTGATCATTCATCCAGTGAAAAAATAAAAATCAAGGCAGGCGTTTCAAGAGGAACCATAATTGAAGAGTTTATAGTACAGCCATGATAATAATAAAATTGATGGAATTCAGTGCAGTACCAGGCACCTTTAACATTTAAATTTATCTACACTCTTGAAGCAAATCAATGCAAGCTTTTATTATAAAACCATGCAGGGTAGTACTAAAATTATTGGAATAAAGTTCATTGATAATACAATGAACCTTTAACATTTATGACTATCAAGACTTTTCAAATAAAACCATACACTGGTCTTTACCATTAAACCAGGGTAGTGATAAAATTGTCCGAAATCGGTTCAATACCAGGTTCCTTTAATGTCTAAGAACTCCATAATAAAAGGACACGGACGTATTTGCTATCTGAATAAATAATTCTGGTACCTTAAAATAACTGCAGGGTATCCCACAGACTAATTAGTTGGTATAACTATACATACTCGCTAAATAAATAACTACACATCATTTATGGGTAAGGACCCCATGGCCCAATAAAAATAATTATCTTACAACTTTCCCAACACAAATAAGCCGTGTAAACCACTGTGTACTTATATACACAGGTGAAGACTATATAAATGTACAAATAGATGAATTACATCTTCTATAACATATCAGATGAATTTCACCCAAAGCTAGTTTTAAATACTCCCTGCGCCTCATGAAATATTAAAGAAATCGGTCTCCTGAGTTTGATGGCTTCCAATGAAATCATCCATACTTAGGGGCCTCTGTCCAAATCTTATTAGGCCCCATATTATCAAATCATAATTTGTTGAGAATTATCCTTGATTTGTTAACCTATAGAGCTCTTTTAAGGCCCTGGATATGTATTTTGGTGTTTTGCCACTGCTGAATCACAGAGGAGGTTTTGATCAGTGAAGTGAATGATAGTATTGAGCATATTTTGTCCTGGTGCCTAAGGATGCCTATTTTTATTTTCACGGTGCTTGTTTTCATGAGCTTGACATACATAAACAGTTCCTACACCCTGTTGATATTGGTGGGTGGAAACCTGTCATCAGTCTCATTGAAGTGGCATATGATATCTAAATGTTTTCCTAAGAGTAGGTTCCAAAGCTAAGACTAGGAAGTGTAGCTTCAGTGTGTGTGTGTGTGTGTGTGTGTGTGTGTGTGTGACAGAGACATAAAAATATCAAGAAAAATATACCCATTATTAAATTGATACAACTAACAAATTTAGAAGAGAGAAGGAGAGAAAAATTAAGACAGACAGACGACAGTCATTATTCTCATATTAATACCTTCAACCTCAAGAAGCCATCTAAGAGCTAGTTTTCCAATCTTAAACAGTTCATGGTATATCTTCCACAACACTTGCGATGGATCAGGATCAACTTCCTCTGCCCTCTAGGTAAAAACATCGAGACAGGAAACCCAG